TGCGTGCGTGCGTGCGTGCGTGCGTGCGTGCGTGCGTGCGTGCGTGCGTGTGTGCGTGTGTGCGTGTGTGCGTGTGTGCGTGTGTGCGTGTGTGCGTGTGTGCGTGTGTGCGTGTGTGCGTGTGTGCGTGTGTGCGTGTGTGCGTGTGTGCGTGTGTGCGTGTGTGCGTGTGTGTGCGTGTGCGTGTGCGTGTGCGTGTGCGTGTGCGTGTGCGTGTGCGTGTGCGTGTGCGTGTGCGTGTGCGTGTGCGTGTGCGTGTGCGTGTGCGTGTGCGTGTGCGTGTGCGTGTGCGTGTGCGTGTGCGTGTGCGTGTGCGTGTGCGTGTGCGTGTGCGTGTGCGTGTGCGTGTGCGTGCGTGCGTGCGTGCGTGCGTGCGTGCGTGCGTGCGTGTGTGTGTGTGTGTGTTATCTCGGACAGGCCTGTTGTTGGACAAGTCATGCTCTTTGATTTGTAATTTGATGGGGCTGTGACATTTATGTATTGTTTTTTAATTGATTTTATATTTTCTATATTTATTTCATTCTCCAATACTGACAGCACCCCTAATAGTAATATTTATTTGCAGTGCTCCTCCCAAGAAACGACCACGTTTTGATGGATACAAAGAAGATCCATTTGTGTTTTTTACCAAGGATGAAGAGGTCTGGTCTTCCATACGGTAATAATCAGCATTGTGTCTTTCTAACACTGCTAATAGTAGGCATACAAATTGGTGGTTTCCATGGAGTAAGGTGTTCTTAGCCCAAAAATTATCAATCTACAAATGTTTTTTTGAACGAATTTGTTGGCCATGTATATAATGGTTGCCATAGCACCAAAAGCTGGTAATATTCCATACTTTGTTCCATCACAGTGAGTTCTACCGTGTTTCATCAACATTTCCTCACACCCAGCTGTTAACAAGATGTGAGACTGGTAGAAAGAACAATCTGTATCTTGTAAACAAAGTAATCAAAGACATTATTAGCAATAATGAAGATAAAGTCAAGGTTTGTTGTTCAATTACAGGATGTCACACTATAACAGTTTATTTTTATCTGACACACTACAACATGTAAAATTGCATCACTGAATGCAAACCTTTTTTGGCTGTTTTGTAAATCCACCTGCTTATTGTGTTTTTTGATTATAATTGCTCAATTTGATACAGCCCTGCTAATACATATAGTATTAAATCTTCCTGTTCTTTCCTCACTACCCTCTACCTTCCCTCTCCTCCCATCTACCTTCCCTCTCCCTCCCATCTACCTTCCCTCTCCCTCCCATCTACCTTCCCTCTCCCTCCCATCTTCCTCTCATACTGATTTACTTTTATACCCTAGGTTATCAATAGTGGTATTAGAGTGCTGGCTAGAAGTGATTCATCTGATGTTCCATGCCCATTCAGGTTGGGTCAAGAGGTAAGTATTGTACAAACTACATACTGTATTTGTTCTATCAGAAATTAATCCAAGGACAAGTTTTGAAATACATATTAAATTGTCAAATTAATTTGCCACACAAATTTTTACTGCCCAAACATTTTTTAAATCAGTTGAAAAAACAAACAAAATATTGGTATAAATAAGTGATGGTGTTAATGTTAGTGTTAATATGCAGACTAGTGAAATAGCACAATATTGGGGTGATTTTCAGAATGGTTTCACACAGTTGTGCAATGGCAGGGTACCAAGTTATTTGACTATATACCCAGCTACTCTGATAGCAGACTTTTTGTGAGTATGCATGTAGCCACATTTAGATATTTTTTTAGAGGCTAATCTGAACAGTATAAAAAAAGGCACAAGATTTCTAAAAGATAATATCACATCTTGAATGTTAATGCGCATTGTCCAGTCTCCAAGGATACTAGATTTCGTCAAAAACATAGGACAGTGGATCATGTTATAAGTCCCCTGGCCAATTGTTGCAGATGTCAACGGACACATCTTCCAGTTAATAAGTGGTCTTTTTTAAATGAATGGTCAAGTAGTATATTCTCTAAATTCTGTACAAAGCTCAACTCATTTGCGCCTTGTTTTTGTTGAATAGTATTACCGTATTACCCCGGGCACGCGCCCAGGGGCCTGAACATACAAAATCGGGAAAAAATGGGGGTGGGCGCTTACCCGAGGACCACCCCAAAAAAGATTTTAAAAAGTTGTTTTTGTGATCGTATGATAAGGTCAAATAAAGGAATGCTTTCGTACACTTTGTACACGTACTTATTTCTTGATTTATGCGAGGTTTCAATAAACGTGAGCACTCGGTCAAGAACTGTGGGAACACTAAGACACAGGGTCGAATTTCAAGAATAAAACTTGTTTTATGTCAGCGAATGAATTTGTATTACTCACTGAAATTGGCTACAAAGTATGGTAAGTATTGTAATCAATGCACGGTTACTTTTTTAGTAACTGTGACCAGTGCATGCAAGTCGAAACGGCCAGGAAAAACTACCGCTTGTAATCCAAGATGGCGATGACCTCATTAGCATAATTTTGTTCACGCACGTATTAATACATCACATCGTAATTACTGAAGAATAGCAGACAGGGTTATGAAACAAATAAACCTTTTATTACTGATGTGAAATGTTTACAAACTATTGTGAATACATAAACATATCCAAATGGCGATACATAAAAAACAGACTGAAAATAAACTCTAGTCGACCTCATTAACATGATTTATTCACGCACCCACACACGTGACAAAATTACAAAAAATAACGATGATGCAACAAGTTCCCATCGTCGGCATGCCTCATTATGGTTATCGTAATGGACTTGAGTCGGCAAAATGTTTTTTCCTCACGACAGAAAAATAATCCACATGACCATAATGCCATAGCTGTGATGAAGATGGAAAGAAAGTAGCAAGTTTACGACGTGATGTCTCAAAAGTGCTAGCTCCCGTTATGGATTCACAGTCAGTGAAATACTACGTTTTAAAACCAAGGCTAAGTGCTTCAAACCACTCACCAAGGTATGGATCGTTGCAATATTGGATTCATCGTGAATGAAGAGAAAGCAGAACGTGTGCACCACATGCTGCGTGGTTCATCTTACGTCGTTAAGTTCCAATGAGTTTTTACGTAAAACACAAACAAAGCGGCCCTTTTCAGGGCCACCACACACTCCAAAAAGAGAACTACCGTAACAAACACACTATTTAAATAAATCAAACGCGTTTGTTTTTGATTAATAAAACTTTATTGTTGACCCCGTTCTTGGCTAAAAATCACCCTGGGCGTTTAACCGAGGATGTCACCAACATGTAACTTTTGTGAAAACAGGGGGTGGGCGCTTGCCCAGAGAGGGGCGCGTGCCCGGGGTAATACGGTAGAATCAATTACTCTATAAACGTTAACCAACTACAATTTGGGAACACAACAACTTGTCTTGAATTTGGAGTGTTTGTGAGGTTTTATATACTCCCTCAAACCCTTGGTATTGTTAGTTTCCATTTGCCATAATCGGAAACAGGGATGCATGTTTTTGATTCTGTCCATCTATGATACATGCAGCATAATTTCTTAGACATAGTTGTTTTTAAGTGGACAGGGTCTATGGCAATGACTTGTTATTTTCATTTGTCCTCAATCGTTTCTCAGACATGTCTAACATGTGTAAAAGTAATGACTATATAGCATGAACAATTCTTAAAAATCTACCCACTTTTTACTGACCAATTTCAATTGGCACATTTAATTGGGTTGACATACATGTAGGTAGTGACTTATCCGGCAGTATCTCAGTGTGTAATCGGTGTTTGTGGCAATGTTTTACAGGGATCCATAGTGATGAAACCTTTTCTTGAAAACAGACTGGTGAGGCTAACAAAGAAAGATGTTGTCATACTACTCACAGAAGAAAATCCATTTATACATAAATTGTCATTTGATGCAATACAAGAAATCAACGCCCATGGTGAGTTGAAATAAATTGTACCAGACACTGATTCAGAAACGCAGTATTAATTGTACCAGACACTGATCCAGACATACTGTATTAATTGTACCAGACACTGATCCTGACGTACTGTATTAATTGTACCAGACACTGATCCTGACATACTGTATTAATTGTACCAGACACTGATCCAGACATACTGTATTAATTGTACCAGACACTGATCCAGACATACTGTATTAATTGTACCAGAAACTGATCCTGACATACTGTATTAATTGTACCGGACACTGATCCAGACATACTGTATTAATTGTACCGGACACTGATCCAGACATACTGTATTAATTGTACCAGACACTGATCCAGACGTACTGTATTAATTGTACCAGACACTAATTCAGAAACGCAGTATTAATTGTACCAGACACTGATCCAGACATACTGTATTAATTGTACCAGACACTGATCCAGACATACTGTATTAATTGTACCAGACACTGATCCAGACATACTGTATAAATTGTACCAGAAACTGATCCTGACATACTGTATTAATTGTACTGGACACTGATCCAGACATACTGTATTAATTGTACTGGACACTGATCCAGACATACTGTATTAATTGTACCGGACACTGATCCAGACATACTGTATTAATTGTACCGGACACTGATCCAGACATACTGTATTAATTGTACCAGACACTGATCCAGACATACTGTATTAATTGTACCAGACACTGATTCAGAAACGCAGTATTAATTGTACCAGACACTGATCCAGACATACTGTATGA